CACCTAATCCTACTGACACTGCATCGCATATCTTGGGGTGATAGAACATCGGATAGGCCCATCCGATACAAATATCTTGGCAGTGTATGTGAAATCAAAAGCACTCAAAATGAAAAATACCTGACCCACCTGAGTGACCAGCCAGATACCCAGGCAGTGACCTCAGGCTTAATTTTGAGTTTACAGGGTTTTCTATCTCATTCAAATTTAAAGATAACCTGGTTGTACAAAATTACAAAAAAAAATAACATTCATTGATGCATACAAGAAGGTTTATAAGTACAATAAGTAGTAACCCCTATGCAGAAGTCAAAAGCATACTTAAATTGGTGTATTGGACTTTATAACTTGATTTTCAAAATAATCAAAGTTATACTAGTGCAAAATAATTGTAAAAGACCCAGCTACATTATTCATCTTTGAAGTTTTTGTTATTGCATCACTAGTTTAGTAGCTACAAATAAATCCCACCGCCAGCAAAAATTACTTGGACAAGGCTGTCCGAGTAATTTTTGCTGGCGGTGTCCAAGGGGTTGAATTATTTATAAGGGTATTTAAAATAGTTGCACAGGTGTTGGAGGTGTATTCATTGTTGGAGGAGTGGTATTATGGGTTGAGACAGAAGGGAAGCACTGATTTATAGGGAGATACAGTGTTGTGAAAGTGTATTGGTCATTTTGGTGTATGTAGGCATGATCAGAGAGTGTTACATATGAATTGAAGATGTAATTTCAAAAGGACTATAGATTCACATTTGTGTAGCATGTGTAGTTTTGAAGATGGAACATATGTGTAAAGATGAAATTTATAGACAGGAATCAGAGAAATCAGAATATTGATTTCTTAAAATTGCAGCATCAATATTGAAGGAGACTTGGAAAAAAAGAAGTTCAAAGTGAAACATTGGCAAAAATAGGTTGTTTCAAGGTGATTTACAAGTGGTTCATGTTTTGATGAATGTGTTAAGAAGTTCATAAATATGTTCATTGATGGTGTGGGTTTGTCTAAGAAGGATTTTCATCATGTGTATTTCTGCTGTGTTTGAGTGTGTATAGGTGAAAATAGGTGGATTTCATTAGTTTTTCTTGCTTGTAGTGTAATTTTCTGTCTGTAGTGAAGTTGTGTGAATGGTGTATGAGCTTCCTGCAGGTGATTTGTTTTGTTGTTGGACTTATTGGGAGGCTGGGTGAAAATTTATGTGTGTTTCATGTTGTAGAGATGGATATAGGTCTGGCTCTCTCTGTGAGGGGCAGACTGCTGTTAGGTCTACCTCAACACTACAGTTGAGGAGTTTAGAAGATTTAAGGATAGGAGATAAGGGGACAAGGTAGTCTGTGAAGGGTGAAACCAGCACAGACTACAGTTAGATGACCTCTTAGAAGAGGATTTAGGGTATATATTGGGCTGTTGAGTGTTTATATACACTCTTGGTCAAGAATAAGAATCTTTGTGACACAGTAGTCACCCTAGATTCTGTGAGTTTATAACCCAACAGTTATCCATACTCTGGTGAGTTTATAACCTAGCAGTTATCTGTACTCTCTTGAG